CATGGGACTCTCAAGAGACTCCTCCAACACCATAATTCAAAAGCATCAATTCTTCGGCGATCAGCCTTCTTTATGGTCCAGCTCTCACTTCCATACATCACGACTGGGAAAACCATAGCTTTAACTAAATGGACCTTTGTTGGCAAAAGCAGATGTCTCTGCTTTTAAAGATGCTGTCTAGGTTTGTCATTGCTTTTCTCCCAAGCATGTGTCTTTTAATTTTGTGACTGCTGTCACCATCTGCAGTGATCATGGAGCCCAAGAAAATAAAATCTCTCACTGCCTCCATTTCTTCCCCTTCTATTTGCCAGGAGGTGATGGGACCAGTGGCCATGATCTTCGTTTTTTTGATGTTGAGCTTCAGACCATATTTTGTGCTCTCCTCTTTCACCCTCATTAAAAGGTTCTTTAATTCCTCCTCACTTTCTGCCATCAAGGTTGTGTCATCTGCATATCTGAGGTTGTTGATATTTCTTCCGGCAATCTTAATTCCGGCTTGGGATTCATTCAGCCCAGCCTTTCGCGTGATGAATTCTGCATATAAGTTAAATAAGCAGGGAGACAATATACAGCCTTGTCGTACTCCTTTCCCAATTTTGAACCAATCAGTTGTTCCATATCCAGTTCTAATTGTAGCTTCTTGTCCCACATAGAGATTTCTCAGGAGACAGATGAGGTGATCAGGCCACTCCCATTTCTTTAAGAACTTGTCATAGTTTGCTGTAGGCGACACAGTCAAAGGCTTTTGCATAGTCAATGAAGCAGAAGTAGATGTCTTTCTGGAACTCTCTAGCTTTCTCCATAATCCAGTGCATGTTTGCAATTTGTATTAAGATGGGAGATGTGCATATTTTTAAATCATGCTATTCCAACACAAGTCACCTTATCATCAATTTTGTGCCACAACAAATATCATAGCAGGTGAATCAGCAGCCTGTGGGTCTGATGTGGCCAACCAATCCCCCAACTTAATTTTCCAGTAGCAGTGCCACCACTGGAAAGTGCCACCTCTCTGCTTTAGCATTATAGCAGGCTTGGAATGATAGGGAGCAAGCAAAACTGTTCCCTCTTCATAGTTTTAACCAAACTACTTAACTTGCGGATTTATGAGTTTGCTCAAACTCTAACCCTTTTGCTGAATCTAGAGGTGATTGGGAAGTCGGCCTCTACCCCAAACCTATAACAATACAAAGCTGCCTCCTGCCAAGTTAATCTGTTCAGCATTGCCTACATACTAATGGACAGCAGCTCTTCAGAAAGAAGAGTCCTACCCAGAGAGTCAAGAGATCAAAGCTGGGGCATTTTCTCCTCTGCTGCAAACAGAAGAGGCTTTCAGGCTGGTTTATTGAGCATTTACTCAATAAATGTTTGCAAGTTTGTTTGCAAGGAGGCTAAACAATGATGTATTGAAACAAGCGTGATCTCATCATTTTCCTTATCACTGATAGTCCTATTTTTTGGAGAACCAGGTTTGTAGCATGATAACTCCAAACCAGCTTTAATTGTGCAACTTGAACTTACCAGTGTGTGATTAAATCCCACCTGACTTACAGTAACTGTCTGGAAGCACCAGAAATACCAGTCCTTTCACACAGCTCCCCCAGGCTGTTAACTTTGGCCAGCTCAGCTCACTTTTAGTCACAGCGCCATGCAATGAAACTGTTGCATGAGCTCTCACTGTGAAAAATCAGGGCAGCAATCATTCTTTATAGATTTCTGGGACTCGAGGCTATATTTTAAAAAGTGTTTGTGTACATATATTGAACTAATAATTGAATTAATTTCATTAAAATTGAACAATTTTGTTTTTGAAACAAGCCACATAGCTTGATTTATAAAGCAGCTGAAGCAAGCTGAACTGAACTTAAATCTAACCTAACGCTAAATTACTGGTGCTGCCCTTGGAGTGAGGTCAAATATATGTCAACATATATACCTGGTAAGGCATGTAGGCTCCTGTACAAGGTAACAGGGATCAGAGGAAGAAATGCAATTTGCTCCAGAGCCAAATGCCAATCAGACCTCAGTGCATGTTCTCTCTGTCACATGTAGGGTAGAAAGAATACAAGAGCTCTGAATGTATGTATGTTTAATGAGTGCTACTAGTTCAGTCAGGCAAATGATTCTATGCACAATTCTATGCACACTTACTTATATGGAAGTTAACCCTTTGAACCATAGGAATTACTCCTGAGCAAACATGCGTAGGACTGGACTGTACATCTTTCTCACTGTATGAATTTAAGTGCAAATAATGTCCTTGACCCTCTACATTGTCAATCTACATATTTGTTTAAAACAGCTGCTGATGACTAGCCTGAAATAAATCAGGTCAGGTTAATAGGTATCAGGTAGCCCTGGAAACTGGACTTGTAATGACAACTGTAGCACAGACATTAGCAGGGTAAATATGCAATATGCAGCACCTAGCCAACGTGGCTGAACCTTGTTTAAGAGGGATTATCTGTAAGCAAGATAAAACAGCACGCAGCACCCAACCCCCATCTAGTTTGCTAAGGAAGATACTTACCTGATAAGCTATTTTTGCAATGTTGTAATATGCCTGCAAGTGGTGACATGCTCAGTCTCTTAAATTAATGCAGGCTTTGCAATTGACTGCAAATTGCTTACAGCCAGGACCCTACCTAGGGGTTGATAAGGTTGGCCTCTGCCAGGGGCGGAGGACCAGGGGGCCCAAAATTGCACTTCTCCACCATGGCTCAGAGTGCAATGGCTGGTGAAAAGCAAACTTTTTGAGTTTCTGGTCCATGGTCTCCCCTGGCTTTGGAGGTATGGATACAACTCCTTGCCAAGGGAGCCTAGGTACGCCTCTGCTTACAGAATAAAGTTGTTAGGCAGATAAAGTACCTGAAAGTAAAGGTGTTTCACTCCCTCCTGTTGACCAAGTGTTTAAGAAGGTGTACACTTTATATTATAGATTAGGGATGCATTACTGTATCCACCTGCCTGGAAGGAAGCCCTGTGAACTCAATCTGACTTTCTTTTGGGCAGTGGCGTAGCGTGGGGGGTGCAGGGGGGGCCGGCCGCACCGGGCGCAACATCTGGGGTTAGGGCAAATCCACAGGTTAGGGGGCGCAAATCCACGGGTTAGGGGGCGCAAATTACTTGCCTTGCCCCGGGTGCTGACAACCCACGCTACGCCACTGCTTTTGGGTAAGCAGGTACAGGATTGCACTATAATATTGCTGCCTCTTGGGCTACATACATATTAGCAGCTTAAAAGGCAGCAAGGTTGTTCACACACACACACTCTCTCTCACACACTTATATACTGCATTTTAAGGTGCATTTTTACGTCGCTGTATACACGAGAAAGTGATGGGGATGCTGTCACTCGATGCACATTGCCTGGCTTGTTTTCCCCACAGCTGCAACTCTGCTCCCCAAACTCCTATGCAATAAAGCCATAATCTGTGCAGGTGCAACGAGTACCTGAAATGTTCACATTAGCTTAACTGCAACTTCAGTTTTCAAATCAGATGGAAGCTGGTTTGAATTTTGTGTGTGTGGATGTGTGATTAACTCCAATGGTTTGCAGTGCCAACAAAACTTCTTATAACAAAGCTTCTTATACCAGTAATTCACATTAATAACAGAAACATATTCCATGCCCGTGTTATACCCAGTCTAACCATAACTAAAAGGAAAATTACCAAAGGTTTTAAAGCTAGTTCAGCATTAATTTATGACAAAATAGAAGCCAGTTCGGGATCTAATACTAGTGAATGGCCAATAACGATCGTAATTTCCTTAAGAAATTGTGCCCAGAAAGTGTGAGCAAACCCACCATGGGTGCCATTATGGAAGCAGATATAGACTGCAGATAATGTCATGTGTACTCAGCATCAAACGCCTACAGCGGGACTGCACTGGAGCTGGAGTAAATACTGTAGCAATGTGTGCATAGGTTTGTACTTGATAAAACCAAACTGGTACATATGTGCAAAAAGCCTAACAGCAAAGTTTAATCTGCTTTTCATAGTTTCTGCTGCAATATTATGGGGAATTTTGACAAGATCTCACTTGCTGCTCTGGTGCTGGAACTGAAGAGACACATTTAATGGACCAGAAAAGGGAAGGTGTTGAAAATATCTGTATTTATTTCAAAAACAAAAGCTAGATGTTAAAGCAATCTGTATGTGAAGCATTAAAGAGTCTATTCAGCCCCTCACAGTCCATTTCCACCACAGCTATAAACCCTTTGAAGTTAACAAACATAACTTCAATAGATCTACAGAGTAAAATTTGGTTGAGTTCCACCCATAATATTTTCCTGGTATGTGACAAACAATAAATGTTTTTGTGTGCTTAAGGATACATTGTTGATCGTATATTTCTTGTTAATTTACTAGGGGGGGAGGGACACAATCATTAACTGTCCACTAACCAATACGCACCGGGCTATTTTTCTCACGACAAATAAGATAGAAGGAAACCTTCAATTCTGGTAGAGGTTTTCTGTACAGCCTCCTTGCTTTTACCAGGTCTGGTGTCTGTGCACCATGGGGCAGTAGAGAAAAAAGCTGCAACGGGCCCCTAGCAAGAAAAGTTTGGGTGAGGATGTCTCAAGTGGGTGGTGAATATTCGTAGCGATGGACGTTCCCGCGGGCTTAACATTTAAAGGCAAAAAATATATATCAAATATGCTGTGTGTTCCCTTGCCAGGTCACGCCGCTTACGGAGCTAAGCCATGGGAGCAGACATTTCGGCGCCAAGCTCGGAGTGAGCAAGCCGAAGTTAGCAGCATATGGAAGCCAGGCGTTTCTTCGGCATGCCCACTGCTTTCTCCACGGAAGGCCTGCCTCTCTCGGTTGAGAAGGATTGCTCCGGCTAAGTAGCTGGGACGCACAGATCCAGCCTTTCGCCTCCAGCGAATTGGCTGTGACCCCACAAAGAAGCAACACCGGATTAGAGAGCCATTGTCGTAGGAGGGGCGAGGGTCTCCCCGCCCCCGCGCGCCGCTTCCTTTTTTTCCCAGCTTCCCTAACGTCGCGGGGGTGTTGTCAGGCGCGCGTTGCGCCTGCGCTGGATGCGCCTTTCTGAACTGGGAGCGCTGCAGCGCCGGGAAGTTCTCCGAGGCTGCCGGAGGGAAGGAGGTGCGGCGCGTCAAGGAGGGAGGCTGCGGCGCGCTCCTGCCGCGGAGAGGTTCGTGGCTCCTGGGCCGCTTCCCGGCGCCTGGCGGGGGGGGGGGGTGCGCTGGCGACGGCGGGGGGGGGAGATGAGGGAGGATGTGAGGGAGTTGTTTGGCTTTGGGAAGGTGGCGGCGGGAGATGAGCTGGGCAGAGAAGTCCCGGAGCCTGGCTCTTCTTCCCTGGGTAGGGGCCGCGGGGGTGCTGCTGCTGCTGGCAATAACAAAGCGGGGTTTCCTTTGGGCAGCTCTCCGGGCGCCCCCTCTCCTGTATCCGGTGATCCTCGCTGTTGGGAAGGGGAGGTCTCCTTCCTGACTGCCGCAGGAGTTGCTTGGTAGGTGGCTGGCTGGGTGTCAGCCAGCCAGATGTTGATCTGGGCGCAGGGAGTTTGGTTTGTTGTGGGCTGATGTTTTGTGCCCGGCAGGACTTATTTCAGAGGGTCGCAGCCCAAGTTTTGGAGAGACGCTATTGTCGGATTCGGTTTTTTGTTTTCGGAAGCCGAGATGATGGGAAGTTTTAGGAGCAAGTGATCTAATTCCTTTAAGACAAAAGTAGTTCTGAGATTTGCGTCCCGAGGAGGGAGCTGGCTCCAAGTACTCCAAAAGAGCGTTTTAAATGAATCGGAAGGGAGAGAGAATGGCCTGTCCTCCTCGCTTTCCGATCACGGGCAGCTGCCTGCTTCCTCCCTGTGAAATGGCTTCTCTGCACGAAGTAACCTTATGTCCCCCTCCACCTCCCTCCCTTTCGCAGCATCAAGCACTCGCTTTCCAGTCTCACCCGTTTTTAATTTATCAGGAAATTGCTCTGCACTATCTTTGTTTTTCTGCAGTGAGATTTGACCTCCTACAGCCCTTTCTGTGTCATAGGCATCTTTGACCTGCCATGCGGTTTTTACAAAAAGAAGGTATTGTACTTCAAAGTATGCTGCAGAAAGCGTGTGCGCTGCCAAGTGGCTGTGTTTGGTTACTTGGTGTCTAATATATCTCTGCTTGCGCTAGCAGTGCAGAACTAAATGTTCTTTTTAAAGTTTCTTGTCTGAGACTTCGAATTTTGCTGGCTGTGTTGGAAGTGTGTGTTTGGTGAAGGCACAGATTTCACATGTTTTGATTTGGCTATGTGAAGGCCCAAGTACAGACCTGTGCATTAAATATGAAAGGTACATGCATGTATTTAGTCTCCTTCTGTTTTGAAGTACACATAAGTAGGCTGACCCTACTTATGCATATATTTTAGCATGAAATGAGGTTTAAAATGCATAGATAACACATGTTAATATCCTCAGCTGTTTAGATGCTAGCACACAAATATTTGAGAACCTGCATGGTGTAGTGGTTAGTGTGTTGGCCTAGGATCTGGGAGATCAGGGTTCAAATCCTCCATTGGCCTTGAAGTTCACTGGGTGACCTTGAGCTTGGCTTAACCTATCCCGCAGGGTTGCTGTGAAATACAGTTTGAAAGGGGGAGAACTCCTTGTGCTGGGTATTCTACCCTATGCACATGGAGGAGGGCCTCTGGTAAGACATAAAGGAAAGAATGCAATTGTGTTCAACAATTGCTATCTATCAAATGCATCAGCAATCAATATCCTGGGGTTGGCTTCGACAGACAGTAGTTGTTGAACACAAAGCCCAGTGGATGGCTTTTAAACAGGAAACTTCTGCTTCCTGACTATGGCTTTAACATTTTGCTTAGTAAGCTGTTTTTGCAGTTTACATTGTTGACCAGAATGACTTTTGTTGCCTGAGGGGTGTATTAGAATTTCACAGGTTGTTTTTAAGTATTCCAGCAGTTTGATTTTTTACTGGAACGAGTTAAGAAAGCATAGACACTTATGAAATAGCACACATATGTAAATTTGGGAAACAGTGAATGAAAGTTCTAAGGGTCATGACTAACTTTAAAATGACATAAAGAGTCATTAATAGAAACAGACCTGGAAAATCAATGGAATGCCAATACAGACTAAAAGAATAAGTCTCAAGGAAGTACTAGGTGCCTTCCTGTAATTCATGGATCTCAAGGTTCCAGTGGCACTAATGTGTAAAGTTTAAAAGGAACTGAATAATATAGAAAAACTGAAGATGGAAATTAAGTTATCTACAAAGTGGGTCAAATCAATGGACCATCTTGGCAAAGACCAGATAATATGCTTGGACCTAAGAGAAGTAAACATTTTCAAATTCCTGCCATAGAAGAAATCATTAGTAAATTAGCAAGAGCAGCAATATTTGTAGTCCTGTGAGCCCGTACTTGACAGTTTCAACAAAAGTTCAAAGCGATTTCTTCAGGTCCAGATGTAGCAAAGGATGACCCATCAGGCATGTGAAGGTCTTGATAGTGTTGCATGTTGTATAGATGATAATGATGATTAGGGTGTGGGGAAAGACACAGAAAACAGGAAACGTGCCTTATAGGAGTCAGACATTGGTCCATCTAGCCCAGTATGAGCTACACCGACTGCCAGCAGCTTTCCAGGATTTCAGGCATTTCTCTCCCAGGAGACACCTGGAGATGCTGTGGAATGAACCTGAGACTTTTTGTATGAAAGACAGGTGTTGTACCACCAGCCTTCCCAGACAAAACCTAAGAGTGACATGTCACAGAGCTGTGTGGGCAGAGTTGCAGCTCATCAGACATAATTACATCTCAGTTGTGGCCACTGCATGCATTAGGAATTTCCCACAACAACAGAGTACAGATGATACATGCACTTTCCTGCTTTGAAGCAATGCCGTTTTTCCATGATGTAAAGTGACCCTAGGCTTAGAAGCTTCCTAGCCCTGCACTGCTTGAAACTTTTTAGCTCCAGATTTCCAATGATAGTATAATAGCTGTGTATTTTACAGTATAATCCTATACACATATACTCTGAAATAAGATCAGTTGAGTTCAACAGGGCTTATTCTCAGTAAGTAGGTAAAGGATTGCAACTTTTGTAGTCCAAGAGTTCTGGCCATTTTACCTGTCTGACTCAGTGTTCACACCCAGTCAGATACAGGAGATGGGCTTGTGTGTGTACATACTGCCTTATGAAGGAGCAACTTAATGGGGCATCTAGGCTACAGGACATCCCAAGAACCCCCATGAATTAGGTTTACTTAGTAATGCATTTGATTGTGTGCAGATTTGTGTCGGGACACATGCAATATAAAATCTGTAACTTAGCAAAATCAGACACCCTCAAGCTCCACTTCCAAACGTTATGTTGTGATAAGGTACATTCTAAATAACAACATTTCCTAATATAAAATTCAATGCTGACATTGGGGAAAGCCCAACCCCCGCAGTCCAGCAGCCATTATCCATAAAAAGTTCATTGTTTACCTCAGAAGGCACATTACTAAAATGTCATATTGTGCTGGAAGCGTTTTGCTAACCTCTTACTATTTACGTATCTATTTAATAAACGAGTAGCATACAGAATTCTATTATCTGACCCACAATCCAGCCCTATTGCTGAGGTCAAAAGAAGTTACTTATGACTATTTCCATTGGACAAATTATCAATGGGATTCAATAGTATGGCTAATTTTGGATTGGGGCCGTTGTATAATATGTTTTAAAATATCCTAGTGCCTTGGTTCAGATATGAGTGATATCATTTCTAGGACAGTTAGCTCAGACAGGGAAAAGTGAGTATGCAGCACGTAGTTAAATTATGGGATTCACTGTCACAGGATGGTCACCAACTTGGGTGGCTTTCAGTGAGGATTAGAAGTATTCATGGAGGATAAGGTTATCAATGGTTATTAGTCATGAATGATGGCTATGTTCTACCTCCACAGTCAGAGGCAGTATACCAGTTGCTGGAAATCACAAGCGGCGAGAGTGTTGCTGTGTTCTGGACCTGGTCCTGCAGGGCTCTTAGGTTCTTCGACTTTCATCTGGCACCATAACCTTGTATGGCATGTAACATTGCTATATTGAATTCTATTTTTATTGTTGCTGCTGCTTGGTTATTTTTTATTCTGCTTTATATTTTACACATGTCTGTACTTTTGCATGAAGAGTAGACTAAAAATATGGCAAAAAAGAAGGAAGACTTGAACCATGTCATACACACATTGCAGTCACTCCCAAGATTAGATTAGCCATATCTCTCCCTCCTCAGCAGTACTTGCAACACCTTTCAGTGTTGACTCCTAAGAGGAATGTCTGTGTGTGTTTGTGGGATTTGCTCTCCCTCAAACCAGCCGGGAGCAAGCTTTGCAGAATACTCTGCACCCCACAATAATTTCATGCAGTTCTCGAAACACCCACAAGGTGCTTCATAAAACTCACATGTCTTGTATACATACACAAAACGACTCTGTTGTATTGTTTTTTTAAAAAACAAACAAACATGTACCTTATCAGATAGGGAAACTTGTCATTGGCATTTGTTGTATAGTTTGGTGAAAAGGCTGGGTTTTGAATTCTAGCTCCCTTGGAGGGTGGGGAGATGCATTGTAAATACAATGCAATTAGACCTTGGGGTGGGGCTGGACTATATTTTTTTGGGGGGGGGGGTGAACGAATTCCTATGCCCCACAAATAACCCAGAGATGCATTTTAAATAAAGGGACACATTCTACTCATGTAAAAACACACTGATTCCTGGACAGTCCATGGGCCGGATTGAGAAGGTGATTGGGCCGGATCTGGCCCCCGGGCCTTAGTTTGCCTACCCATGTTGTAGACACTCGATAGTAATGATTTACACAAAGAAGCTTATACACAGTGTATGACAATAAATAATGCTCTCCTGCCAGTACCACCATTAACTAAAATTTGCTTAGTGTAGTGCAGGGCACTACCTTAGAATCATAGAATCATAGAGTTGGAAGAGACCACAAGGGCCATCGAGTCCAACCCCCTGCCAAGCAGGAAACCTTCTCAGTGGTGGGATCCCAGTTTTGGAATACTTTCCTCTCTGAGATACAGCTGGCACCAGTGCTGTTGAACTTCTTGTGCCAGTTAAAGATGTGCATTTTTGCTCATGATTTTGCTGGAGTTTAATGTCAGATTGATGGTTGTGATTTTTGTTTAATTGTGATTAATCTAGTTTTATTATGTTGGTGTGCAGTACTGAAATTCCTTGCAGTGAATTGTTGCTTCATTCTATTGGGTGGCATCCAGGTTTTAAAAAGAAAATAGAGGATTTCCATGTTCTAGATGTGCATTACTTAGGACGCTTGCTGCTTTTCAGGCCAAACTCTTAATACTCCTCCAATAAGGGAGGTATAATAATAATAATAATTTATACGCCTCCCATCTGGGTGCATTTCCCCAGCTGCTCTGAGTGGCTTCCAACAAAATATTAAAATACAATAGTCCATCAAACATTAAAAGCTTCCCTAAACAGGGCTGCCTTCAGATGTCTTCTAAATGTCAGATAGTTGTTTGTTTGACATCTGATGGAAGGGCGTACCACAGGGCAGGCACTACTACCGAGAAGGCCCTCTTCCTGGTTTCCTGTAACCTCATCTCTGGCAGGGAGGGAACTGCCAGAAGGCCCTCGTCGCTGGACTTCAGTGTCTGGGCAGAACAATGGGGGTGGAGACGCTCCTTCAAGTATACTGGGCCAAGGCCGTTTAGGGCTTTAAAGGTCAGCACCAACACTTTGAATTGTGCTCAGAAGCGTACTGGGAGCAATGTAGGTCTTTCAAAGTATCCTTTTAAAGTATCCTTACATTCCAATTAAAATGCATTGTTTCAATAAAAAGGGCAGACAGGGTCTTTTTGTTGTCGTCAAATAGTTTTCTAATGCTTTCTAAATGTAGATTCATTTAAATCTAGCTTCAAACCTGGGTTTGTCATTAGAAATTGCTTTTATTGCTGTTTCAGAAGGCCTATGCCTCCTGATGCCGGAAAAAACAATACCAGGAGTACAACCCTGTTAATTCTCCTGGACCCTTCAGGGAGTGGCTTTTGATGTCATTGACTACAATATCCTTTTGGATAGACTCTTCACGTTTACCATATGATGTTCAGGTGGTTCTGCTCCTACCTGCGTGCCTGATTTCTAAAAGGGAGCACTGAGGGACAATTGTTTGGCCCTGAGGCATGTCTGCCACGAGATGCCACAGGCTCCGATTCTGTGTCCCATTCTTTTTAACTTCTGCGTGAAACTGCTGAGTGAGGTCATCTGAGGAGTTGGGTGTTGTCTGTATGCTTGATGACGCTGAACTTTTTAAAAGCTGGTTTAAGCAAGGCAGAGAGTTCTCTAGGATGAGTAATGAGAACAAGAGCCAGTAAACAAATGTAGTCCTGACAAAATGGGGTGTACTTCTGATGGGTGGTTTATTTGGATGGGATTTAACAATTAATTAAAGTGGGGATTTGAACCCTGATCTCCCAGGTCCTAGTCTAAAACTCTAACCCAGCCTTTCTTAACCTTAGGGTCCCCAGATGTTGTTGGACTACAACTCCCATCATCCCTGACTACTGAGCCTGCTAGCTAGGGATGATGGGAGTTTTGGTCCAACAACATCTAGAGACCCAAGGTTGAGAGAAGCTGCTCTAACCACTAGACCAGTGTTTCCCAACCTTGTGCCTCCAACTGTTTTTGGACTACAATTCCCATCATCCCTTGCCACTGGTCTTGCTAGTCAGGGATGATGGGAGTTGTAGTTCAAAAACAGCTGGAGGCACAAGGTTGGGAAACACTGCACTAGACCACAGTATGCCACACGCACTCCAGATGCAGTCTAGCCTGTTTCATTACCCACAGATCCCCTAAATTTAACTATCAGCATTGCAATTCATTACCTTCAAGAACACTATTTATTTACTTCTGTTCAAGATATTTGTTTACACTATAGTGAAGGGCATGCTTAGATCTTCTCTGGAGAGCAACATGTGAAAGTGCAACCAGGAAAATCTGAGCTGCATTCCTCAGCTTCTCTCATGGGCTGCTCCCATATCCACAAATCTCATGCGGGAGAAAGGCATGTGTTTCACACAATGCTGAGCCATGTGCATTCTTGCCTTCCTTTGAATGGGACCAGCGCTTTGTGAAACTGGTTTTCATTTAAGCCCAAGTCTGCAGTATTTCCAGTGTACAAGCCAGATTACTGTCCTCCAAGCAGCCATGTGAGATGGATAAGACTGGAAGATTGTATTGTCCAAGGCCATTAATTAGTTCAAGATTTATATCTTTAATGCTCCAGAAAGTAAGCACCCACAGTTGCTAATAAGCAAAATTAAAACATGAAGAGTAGCACTCCTTAAAGCCTCTAAAAAGCTGATGAGCTCTATGGTTGAGCCAAAGTTTGAATTTTAATACCCCAACCCCCATCCAGACCCAGCACTCCTGTTGTCTGCATCCTGCCAATGTGGTTCATGTATTCGAAATCATGAAAACAAAAAGGCTTCCCATGTTTTAAAAGGAATGAACGGTCATTACCTAACCTTTGTGTAAAGTTCCTGTGCTTTTCGCACCTAGTAGAACTTCTCTACCCATTCCAGTCTTTGTTAATGATGATCACTATATTAATTATTCTAAATAAAAATATAGTTTTTTTGTATTTAGTACTACTAAACGAGATGCTGGAGTTGAACAACAAAGCTGCTTCTCTTTTCAAACTTTGCTGGCCATCAACTTGACAACATTTAATCATTTTTATATACGTCTTCGAATAAGAGATGTTCCTCACATTTAACAATGGGTGCCTTCTTTTTTTATGTTACAGCTGACCTCTCCAGACAGCAATGCTAAACATGGATGGTGGTAAGTTTGTGTGTATGTTCTAGTAGTTTGTGTTTTCACTTGAAAGAGTGTGTAATGCCCTGTCAGGATCTTTGGTGTCAGAGTATGTGTGTTGGAGCAAGGGGCATTGTCTCCTTTCCATGCCTATATCTGCTGTTATGTCAGCTGTTAGATCCTTCCTTTTCTCCACCCCAATAAAGAATCGTCACTGTCTGACAGGAGTCAAGTATTTACTCTAGCACAAAAGGGCTCATATGAAGTACCTGTAGTGGGGAAATCACAAGAATTCATCCCTGGATTAAACTGCATATCCATTATGGGCACTGATTAGGCTTCCACAAATCAGATCATACACAATAGGTTTGGCCTAACCTTAAAAGCTCAGCAAGATACATGGTCATCTGGCTCATGCAGAGGACTTGTGGCAGCTGAACGAACCTTGAATCTGGGCACTGCAAGATGTGTATTTAAAAACTTGGGTTTTGGCTTGATCTGTAAAAGCCACGAATCATCTATCATCCCTTCTTCTGCTATTATATTCCAGCCTCAGAAGCTGGATTGTTTCTGTGCTGACAATTCAAACATGTTTAAATCTTACAGGGATGAGATGAGGTTGACACTTAAAATGCATTGAATGTTCTGTTCACCTGGCTTGGTACTGTTTGAAATGTTGTTAACTGCTCCAGGCCCTTGTGCTTGGGCAGTTAAAAATGATAACCATATATAATCACTAGACACACGTGCTTTATTTAGAAATAAGTTTACATATTCTTGGCTTAGAAAAAGAATTATCCTGAATTAAATAAAATAAATAAAACCTAATGTTTCTGTTTTAAATTGCTAGCTCTGGTTTTGTTTTTTTGCAGTGTTTATCTCAGAGACTAAAGCCAATTCTGTCCTGAAAAGATATCCGCGGGCTAATGGGTTTTTGGAGGAATTAAAGCAAGGAAACATTGAACGCGAATGCTTTGAAGAAATTTGTAACCGAGAAGAGGCAAGAGAAGCTTTTGAAAATGATGAGAAGACGGTAAGTTAGCTATGCAGTTGTAAAGGTATGCTTCCTGGGTTAACTTTCTTTTTAATGATACTGATTGGTTTATATTTCTTTTCGACATAATGAACACAAAACTTTCTTTAATCTCTGAACGAGAAGTTAGTTCAAAACTGCAGCAAATTGAAAGCAAGAAAAAAAGAGAACCTGGATTACTAGAAACTCTTGCCTCCATCTCTCTTATCTCAAGCACTTGGGTAATGGAATCATTGAGTGGTGTTCAGCTAAGTTTTACTTGGTTGGGCCCATTAAATTCAGTGAGTAAAAGTGAATCCCACTGAACTCAGGACTAACTTCTGAACAAGCTATAAATTTGTGACATCTCTGTACCCTAGTTTCTCAGGTAATTTCACTCACTGTTGGATTCATATTCTGGCAATAGAAAGTGGAGCCATTTGAGCCATAAATTGAAATTTGAATGTTACAAGTGGCTGTCCAAGCTAAGAGGGGGAACTGCCATACTGTGCCAAACTGCCTAGTATTCACTAACATTTAGTGGTGGCTGGTGCTCATTGGGCCAGGTAGGGTAGAAACTCAAGAGGCCAACAGTAGATAGAATCAGAGCCACTGACAGACAAATTGATTACGGTTTTGTCCCCATCCTCCCTGCTGAATCGTACCAAAGAAACAAACCAAGGAGGAGGAAACTGACAGCCAATGTCCCGCCTACCCACTGCACCCTGTCCCTTGTATTGGTTGTTAGTAAGAAGGCATGTAGGACAGGCAGTTTGAGGCAGACTGGGGCTGGTAGGGGAGTGCCCATTTGCTGACATGGACCAGCCTCCACAGAACATTTTGTGTCTGAAGGAGACAATGGCTACTCGTTACAATGTCTGTGCTCTATATCCACAGTTGGAGGCAGCAGTGCTGGAAACCATGGGAGGAGATGGTGCTCTTGTGTTCATGTTCTGCTCCCTTATTTCCCACAGGCCTCTGGTTGGCCACTGGGAGAACAGGATGCTGGGTTCAATATTGTCCTTATGCTCTTATGAGCCGTGCTATGCCACAAAGTAATGTAATAATGCTGTATTGTTTTTAAGATTTGATTAGAAGCCGCCCAGAGTGGCTGGGGAAACTCAGCCAGATGGGCAGGGTATAAATAATAAATTATTATTATTATTATTTATTATTATGAAGATATTTTGCTGTTTTATATCAATATGATAAACTGTCTTTTTTTCTACCTCTTCTCCCTGCAATTATGAGAAAGGAAAATAATTACTCTTAAATGTGTGCACAAGTGTTAAAAGAGCATCTAATGGAACTGAAATGAAAATTGGTTGATAAGAGGTCATGTACTGGAAACCTGCCAGAATACTTGTTTGCTGACTCCTGAAGCAGTATTTTTGTGCAGCCATAAAACCTCTCATTTCTCCAATCAGAAATAGGGGAAAGACCTCTCAGAAAACCTATTTTCTTCTGTCATATTTTCAGATGGAGTTCTGGAAGGACTACACGAAGAGGCTCAATGGGGAAATCAATGGAGGACATAACTGGTATCCATTTTACCTTGTGATTCCATTAATCATTGGCTTTTTCGTTATTCTTATCATATTTATCACATGGAGGTGCCTGTTCAGAAAGAAAATGCATAGACGTTCCATGTATGCCCATAGCAGAACCAGAGAAGTCGCAGGTGACAGAACTGTTGCAGATGGAAGCAGTCCACTTCCTCAGCCACTCAGCATTCTTCATTCCCCCCAGGAAGAAATGTTTGAAGGCAATGGACACTCTCCAGGATATCTGAGCTACACAGACGGACGTTCAGACTCAATATCAATCAGGCTGTCAAATTACGACCCACCGCCATCGTATGAGGAAGTGGCTGGTGCAAATGGCCCGAGGAGAAAGGAGGCGGCCAATCACTCGGATCCACCGCCTCAATATGAAGACATTGTGAATAGCATTTCAGTAACTCCTGTTACCACTAAATGAAGCAGCGAGAATTCTGGGCCCGTTCTTTTAAAGGGGATGAGGAGGGAAGCCTAATACTTTTTTAGCACTTTATTGCAGCTTAATTATACATTTTAAAGATTGGTAATGCTAACACCACTTCCTCTTCCCTGTCCCAGATTACTTTTGTTCCACATATTCCCCCAGCCCTGGAAACAATGCACTCTTTGATACGGTTGTGCATACTTCCAGAGGTGCAATTTCTGTCTTTCTATATTGCTGGAAGTGATCTTGCAGCAGACCTAAAGGGCTCCCTAACCACAAAGGTACACACACACACACACACACACACACACGAATCTAAAACCAAAAAAGGCCAATAATTTTTGTCCTTTTGCTTGTTGTGCTTTATAAGCCACACCCAACAGAAACCAGTTAAGCCAGCTGGCATAAATGGTGATAGCTGCCTCTGCCAAAGAGAGCACATTGCCCTAAGTTAGGTTGAAACATTTTGACAAATAACACTTAGTACACTTGTGAGAAATGTGGTAAACTACTGATTAATTGTAGGTTCCAGAAAAAATAAAATAAAATAAGAGGCCTCTGCTCCCGAGGTGGAGTATAGTACTACATATATTTTTCTGATTATGCAAACTAGAAACACATACTGATAGTAATTAATTTTGCCTCCTGTCTTCAGTGCAGCTATAAGAACCTATCTGCCAGAGTAAAGGTTAAGAGACAATAGATTACAGGGGAAGGGAGCTTTTTCTGTGATTGACATAAGATGTGATAAGCCCTGTAGCTCTCTCTTTCCTACTTTCTGTGGGAAGTGTGTTGACTTGAGAGCCCAGTGTACTAATTATCCCATGACCAGTGGGAGTATACCTTATCAGTATTTGGTTGCAGTTCAATGAATTGCTCCATGTTTGTATTCATTTCATATTTTACACACTATGAAATGGCCTATTGATTTTTTAGTTACAATACTCAATTCTGACCCGTCTGTGCTTTTTCACTTCAAAGAGATGCTGTCAAGATCTGACTGGTCTCTTGTTTATGCATGCTGGCTTTTAAAAGCAGATAAGAGGTGATGCTTAAATCACCAGAAATCTATAAACCAGAAACTTTATTCCAAAAGCAGTGCTGAGAAAGTGCTGCTTCTCTTCGCTCACCCCTTTACCAGGGTTTTTTCCCTTTTTAATAACAGCTCTTATTTGTCATGGGGGGGGTAGGAAAATGAGTGAGAAATGTGAAGGTGGGGACCCTTGCCTGTACATATTTATCTCTTAAAACCAATTATTTTGAGCCATTCAGGGTGAACTAGAACAGTGCATGAAGGTAAGAAGAGGGTAATCCCCCCCCCTGTAACCTGGTGTCCTCCAGGTGTTTCATATTACAAGTTCCATCGTCACTGACAATTGACCAGGCTGGCTGGGGTTGGTGGGAGTTGTGGTCGAAAACATCTGATGGGCAGAAGATTGTGCAGTGCTGCCCTAAAGCATTTCAGTCTGGCTAACCAGACAAGACTGACTCTGGCAACCTTTCTCATACTTGGCCCCCCGTTTTCCTAAGCTGAAATTGAAGGCATTCTATAGTGGTGATTCGCATAGATTTGCCCAGAAAGTAATCTCTTCTGAAGGCAGGTACCTCTACTGCATTTCTGCATTATGGGTGTTATTTGGATCATTCAGCCACTGTTATTAAATAAATATTACGCAGAGACCCAAGGGCAGTGTGTTTTACACAAGAGCAGCAGAGTGATCAAAACTACACCTCCAGCGCAGAACCGCGGGCAAATGACTTGCCTCTCACACAGGGTTGGTGGCAAGAAGACATGGCCCACTGTCTCAAAGGAACACTTTTAACAACTTATTTCTCTCAGCACACTTGTGATTCTCTCACAGTCACAGTAGTTTGCTCTAACACATATTTTGGGAATGACTGGTTGATGTATTCTTCAAGTTAAAACAGTATAGGCACACTTTCAGATTTGGATTTAGCATATCGTATGAATGGAAGAAAGCTTAAAATGTTGAACCTGTTAGAAAATAGAATCATGTTGGTTTTTTCCCTCCCACACAACTCTCTTCAGCTTCCATGTTGGCGGGAGGTGTTCTATTGACAACGGGTTGGATCCAAGCATAGTTGTGCTTGAAGCAGAGCCAGTGGAATCAGTGGGACTCAGCTGTGACTGAAGTTCCACTGACTTCAATGAGTCTTTAGTCTAGATCCAACTCGCAAGGTGCATATGGTCTTAAACTTGAGGTCACTGATCATTGTGGTTATACCAAGTGTACTAAGTAGAATAAAAATGGGGTGATTAGCTGTAGGCCCATGTTCACATTCTCATCCCCACAACCTATTTTCTTTCCTGGCTACTATATCTCCTTTCTTGCTTCCCTGTGTGTTCCCATTTTGTATTTGCACCCATTTCCCCAGTTTTTTGACTCTGGATTCTGAGCCACAGTGGTAATGTGAGTACAGAATCAAGAAGCGGCCCTTTGTGTCTGTGTGTATTTTTCAGAAGCGATGTTCCAAAGCAAGAAGGGGCCCGTGTCTATCCCTTTTTGGGTTCCAGCAAGGTGCATTGCTTTTTGGCAGCAGTAACCACCATGGTGGAGGGATAATTTTACCTTTCTGCTTCGGGTATGAAAATACATCAAGTCAGTCCTGCCTTTTTCTGCTGGAAAACCATCCCATATCTCTGTTAACAAGGCATTTATTAGTATAATCTTGGTCAGATGTCACACACACACACCCCGGTTACCCCAAAAAGCTTGTGAAATCATAGCAAGCAGTTAAACTTGTAGAGCAGCAAAATCAGCTTTGTGAACTGGGTGACAAATGGAACATGCTTGTATTCTCCAGCAAGACATTTAGCTTTGCTTCCCTTGACTTTAAATTAGTGCATTGTGATGGGGAAATCTCCAGTGTCTGCTGCTAAAGGGCTCGCTTTAATATCTGCTAAAGATAAATGCAATGAGACTGCACAGCCTTCAAGGCCAGACTGTTTCCTTCTGTGCACCTTTACAGATGGAAGTTCCTAATAATATGCCTCTCTAGATGCTTCTGTTTTTACTTTACCTCAAAACACCTTGATGCACAGCCAGAGTGAATCATTCCTGTGATAAAGTGCCTCATATCTGGCTTACAGAAATCACTTGGGATGGGGCAAATCTATTGCTAAGATTACTTCTATTGTTGGCCTTTCTGTTGCTGCTGATCAAGGAACGCACGCATGATACATACTAAGAGAAGCTCCCCAGTTTCTGTTGAATCTCAGATTTTCCTCATCTCGTGTATAAATTTAGTCCTGTCTTGCGGTGGTTCCAATTATATAACCTACAAAAGTTATATAGCTTGATTTTTGTGTGTTGCTGTTCCTGAATTTATCACGTATTAATCCAACTAACATAATGATTTATACAGAATGTTTATTTTTTCAAAATATGGTTAACTATTTTTAAACGGTTGTTGCCTTGCAGTAGATAATATAACATATAACCTCACCTATAAATGTTTTGGATGTGTGTATTTTACGTTAATAATGGGCAATTGATATATTTTGCACCTGGAGTATAACAATGCCATTATCTTGTGGAGTTCTTAATACTTCTATGTTATAAAAGAAGTAAGGATGCAGAAGCCATGTGTTGTCCATAACAGTTATCCTGACTCTGGTGACAACTTGTTCAGTGCATGTAAATAACCCCAATTTTATTGCAGTATTAAATATTTTTTTAATATGGTTTACATTTAAATTAATGCTATTTTAAAAACATTTGGGGGGTGGGATCCTGGTATGCAATAAAGCTATTTTTAAATTCTTGGTGCCTTGGTATTTTACTCAGAGCAGAATGGTTCTGTCACAGCCTTGCTTTTTTATTGTCTGGAACAAAAGGTTATGAACAAGTTTTGATATATTGGCACTGTAAGACTAATAAAAGTCCAAAAGATTATCAAAGCTTGCTGCAGTATGTAATCTTAAGTTACTTTGTTTTTAAGTGTTGTTCAAAATGAAATACCACTGCTAATTTTCCCCTGGAGTATACATTCATCTTTGCCTAGCTTGAGAATTCCACAGGACCATCACTGAGTCATTTCCAAGACTAGAGTAATAGGATAAAATTACTTGTTATCACCTTCCCAGAGGCCAAAGAGCTTATTTGAAGGAAATGGATGTACGTAGTGGAAAATAACCATCAGTTAATTCCAAATTACTTCAGGACCTTGAGCCAGGCATAATACAGTGGTACCTCGCAAGACGAATGCCTCGCAAGACGAAAAACGCGCAAGACGAAAGAGTTTTCCGTTTTTTGAGTCGTTCCGCAAGACGAATTTCCCTATGGGCTTGCTTCGCAAGACGGAACGTCTTGCGAGTTTGTTTCCTTTTTCTTAAAGCCGCTAAGCCGTTAATAGCCGCTAAGCTGCTAATAGCCGTGCTTCGCAAGACGAAAAAACTGCAAGACGAAGAGACTCGCGGAACGGATTAATTTCGTCTTGCGAGGCACCACTGTAAGTCCATTTTCATTGAATTGGTTATCAGTTTCAGTTGTGTACATCTTATAAGGCCGGAATAAAATGTAAAACAAATTTGGAATATATTTCTTAGCGTTGGGGGACAAGAAATGTTTTGACGAAGCATAGGGCACGTTGAGGTTACAATTATTCCTGCCCCTTCCTTTAGGGAGTTTGGAGTAGGTGGTTTTCTCATGCTCTCTCTTCCTACCCTGGCCTATCTAGCAGGGATTTCAGTGCCAGTCTTCAGGTTTCACATCAGATGCAATACCACATTGTAGTTCCCTAGCATCCTTATACACAATTATTTTAAATGAATGGGATCATCACACACACTGCCCTGCATGTAGAAACTATCCCCCTGCCCCAGATTGCTTCCATAAAGGTGAGTGTTGAATGTGTGTGCTAATATGCTTGACTGTGGAATGATGTGGAAACAATTGCTTTCTGTGGGCTGTCTTGAACTCTTGTGTTTACAGCTTTCAAGACTCAGGAAGTGTATTCTGTAAGCAATGTAATTGGTCAACACTCCCAGTAAAATCTCACTGGTGGTCTTTGGAGTTGTGGGTTGCATCAGTACCCCAAGGAGATTTAAAACAACAAAATTCATGTTTGGTATATTTGAGTTTAAAATGCACCATCTCCTTTTAAGTATTTCACTGTTTCCCTCAAATAGGAAGGCTTAGGTTCACTTTACACTTGACCAACTTTTTAAATGTTCTGTTGCTATAAAAGCTCATACCACAATCAGCCTACTTGGTCTTGCCTTTAAAATAAGCACCCTAAAACAGAAAAATACAGTCTTGCAGGATATGCTTGAAGACTGTTAAGACTGTTGGTTCCAGATTGTTGTTGTTTAGTCGTGTCCGACTCTTTGTGACCCCATGGACCAGAGCACGCCAGGCACTTCTGTCTTCCACTGCCTCCCACAGTTTGGTCAAACTCATGCTGGTAGCTTTGAGAACACTGTCCAACCATCTCGTCCTCTGTCGTCCCCTTCTCCTTGTGCCCTCCATCTTTCCCAAGATCAGGGTCTTTTCCAGGGAGTCTTCTCATGAGGTGGCCAAAGTATTGGAGCCTCAGCTTCATAATCTGCCCTACCAGTGAGCACTCAGGGCTGATTTCCTTAAGAATGGATAGGTTTGTTCTTCTTGCAGTCCATGGGACTCTCAAGAGTCTCCTCTGGTTCCAGATTACACTAAAGCAAAGTATAGGGATCAGAAGGTCGGTGGTTCGAATCCCCATGAATGGGTGAGCACCCATTGTTCAATCCCAGCTCCTGCCCACCTAGCAGTTCGAAAGCACATCAAAGTGCAAGTAGATAAATAGGTACCGCTCTGGCGGGAAGGTAAATGGCGTTTCTGTGCACTGCTCTGGTTCACCAGAAGTGGCTTAGTCATGCTGGCCACATGACCCGGAAGCTCTGCGGACAAACGCCGGCTCCCTCGGCCTATAGAGCGAGATGAGCGCCGCAACCCCAGAGTTGTCCGTGACTGAACCTAACAGTCAGCGGTACCTTTACCTTTTTTACTAGGTACAAAATATATCTATCTAGCACAATCTCTGTTATATTTACTATGAATGCCCTATGTTTTCCTTAATCTAAAATCAATCTCTTGTTCTCTCTATGGATTGAACAGGAAAACAACAGCTAGTAGCTTGTTCTTCATTGAGGCCCCTCCCATGTCTGTTATTTTGAAAGAAAAATGCACACAGTGGCAAAATGCACCTTTTCATGTAGTGTGTAGTTTCACCCACCAATAATAAACTGGGTCAAGAGGATTTACAGTGATGAAGTTTCCTCATCTGGGGCAGCCAGCATCTGAGGGTTGGGCTATGGTGCATATGTACTTTTCCCGCCTCCAGTGCTTGTGGAGCTGCCTGTTTGGAGGCTGGGAGCTTCTAGAGAAAGTGTTCTCTCCTTGAGAATTCCTTCTCCTACTAGGAAAGCTGTAAGCAACCCTGTCTGACTTGGACCCAGCATAAGGCTCCTCGGTTCCAGGCAATGCAGTGGTAATCTGCTACAATACTTCTAGTGCTATTCATAAATACCCTGAGAAGGCACATGTGGTGCACGAGAAAGTATATTTTATAAGTGAGCTTGTTACTGATAGCAGTATAGACTTTCCATCCATTTCTGCTGAAACAGCATGTTTCATCTATTCGTAAACATTTAGCACTGACAATGTGCAGAGGCTGAAATGAATATAAATGTATTGCAATTAGCATAGATTCACCCGACTAATGAGATCCTGGTTTAGAGAAATAATCTTATTTTGTTTATTTAAAAGTAACATGTTTGCTGTAGGACCCAATTATTCTCCACTCATTTCAAATTACAAACTCGTTTGTGATTGGTGTGGAAGAGAGTAACTGGCCGTTTGGAGAGTCACCAATATGCCCTTGTCTGAAATAACTAACATTAGCCTGAATCTTTGAGCTACAGAAACCCAGTTCAAAGACTTGCGTTTCTGAAGAGTGCCTGTAAAACTAACGGTTGAGTTGCAGCTTCAGCTACAATCTCTTGAAATTACTGTCATTGCATGCCATACAGAGGGGGCTGATCTGCAAGAGGGAGAACTAGCTGCAGGCTGAAGATGGAAATGCTGTGAAAAGAAGGTTGACTTTTAAAGCTTTTGTCATTGTTTGCATTAGCCTAATTCCTTAATGTTTTTCTTGTCAGTTTGTTTCTTTTTCTGCTAAACACAGAGAGAACATTTGTCCTGCACGTGTCCTCAGTCCATCTGAGGTGGGGTATTTTAATAGAGGCTGGATGGGATGCAGAAGGTGTCACCTTTTTTTGGTTCACTTAGAAAGTATATTCTAGATGCTGTACGCAAATTAAAAAGCAAGGCAGTCCCTGTCCACAGGTTTGCTGGCTGAAAGGCATGATATAAAAGGGAAGATGAAGACGCTGTCCCACCTCTTCCTTTTCTGTAACCAGGTTGGAAGGCTGCTAATAGATGACAATTCAGGGAGACAGAAGGAATCAACCTAGGCCCCATGTGGACTAAACTTAAAGCAGCAATGTACCATGTTAAACAGCAGGAGTGCCATCATGGCCCCACAACTCTGGGTGCCATGCAGTGTGCATGGCCCTGGCATCAAAATTTGTGGGTGCCTGGGCCCTTCATGGGGAATTTTGTGAGTGCTCAGGGCCCCCATGGAATTGGCACCTATGTTAAACAGTCATGGTTTCCCCCAATGAATCCTGGGAACTGTTAGAAAACGCTTGGGAAGAAGTATTGGTTGTTAAATTAGTCTGGGAATTATAGCTCTGTGAGGGGAATAGAGACCTCCTAACAACACTCAGTCCCTTTACAGTTCCCAGGATTCTTTGGGAAAAGCCGTGATTCCTTAATTAGGTATGGTACTGCTTTAAATGTCACCCTATTAAGTGTCACAGTTGTCATCCTATTCATTCTTGGAAAGAAACATAGATTCAATCAAGACATCTTACCACAGAAAATTATACAGTGGTACCTCGGTTTAAGAACGGTCCTGTTTAAGAACGATTCGGTTTATGAACTCCGCAAAACCAGAAATAGTGTCCTGGTTTGTGAACTTTACCTCGGTCTAAGAATGGAAGCCAAACGGTGGAAGGGCACCAGCGGTGGGAGGCCTCATTAGGGAAAGTGCGCCTCGGTTTAAGAACAGTTACAGTTTAAGAACGGACTTTAGGAACAGATTAAGTTTGTAAACTGAGGTGCCACTGTACTTTATAGCAAAATGCATAGGTAGGATCTTGTTGCCTCCAATTCAGTGATTTGGAATTTTATTTATTTTAATACATAAATTACCTCCTCAGCTAAGATACAGAGGGGAAATGCTTTTCCATGAATAGCTGGCCAATACAGCATAATTTGAATGTTCGGGTGGGTGTCTATAGTGAAAACAAATAACCAGGGTCTTAATTTTAAAAATAATAATAATGGCATGTCACAATTCTCGCACAGGAATCATAGCACTTAGTTTTAGATAGAGAGCTGTTTATGAAACGGGCATGCCAGGAAAACAAGAGCTCACTGTGTCAGAGAGAACTTTTCAGAACTAGCTTTTGTCTACTGTAGTAGGTTTTTTAATTTATTTATTTTTATGTGCTAGCTGTTTGTTTCCAACAGCTGCTGCATCAGCATAATGCCACAATACAAGGCATTGTAGGGGTGCCATGCTGGACATTATTCTGGCACAGAAATGATGTTACAACTTAGCTGACCAACATCAAGGTAGCAAAGCCATGTGATTCCTGAGTGAAATGACCAAATAGTATGCAGCTTTTACTAGAACATCTAGGTTTGAAAGTAAAGAGTTGTGAGCTGGATTCTACTTGTGAGCAGATACAGTATGGGCCACTACTAAAAATAGTATCTTTTTGAATGAGACAAGCGCATGGGAGATGAGTCATGGCTTTTAATTCATCAGGACTATTGAATCCGTACACGCAGAG